TGCCCATGCACACGCACTTGCCCATGCACACGCACTTGCCCATGCACACGCACTTGCCCATGCACACGCACTTGCCCATGCACACGCACTTGCCCATGCACACTCCAGGCATACTATTCGCAATTTGTCCTAATCTTGCATGCATATGGTTTGTGTCACATTTGCTTAACCCCAACTCGTACTCCCTCCATGTTCCAATTTTCCACCCATCCGCCCTCCCCACGTCCTCCCCCCCGTCCTCCCCACCTTCTTCCCCCGTCCTCCCCCCCTCCTTCCCCCGTCCTCCCCCCGTCCTCCCCCCGTCCTCCCCCCGTCCTCCCCCCGTCCTCCCCCCGTCCTCCCCCCGTCCTCCCCCCGTCCTCCCCCGTCCTCCCCCCGTCCTCCCCCGTCCTCCCCCCGTCCTCCCCCCGTTTTCCCCCCATCCTCCCCCCGTCCTCCCCCCGTCGTCCCCCCGTCCTCCACCCGTCCTCCTGTAGAGGAGCTGGCACCAGCTGGAGAGCTGGATGACGCTGCACTGGCTGGCAAGTGGGAGTGACTCTTGTTTTCCACCACCCACCCACCCCATGCCGCCACCACTCCCTTGCTGCTGCCAGGACGTGAAGAAGGGCGACCGCTTCGAGGTGACGCTTGTACCAGAGGAGCTGGAGCAGCTGGCTGGTGCTCACTCGCCCACCCACCCACTGTCCCCTCCCCTGTGTGCGTTCAGGATGTGAAGAAGGGCGACCGTGTGGAGGTGACCCTGGCGCCAGAGGAGCTTGAGGAGCTGGATGACGCTGCTCTTGCTGCCAAGTGAGTGCTTGACTGCTTCTAGCGCACAAGTGTGGAGTATCTGTTCACAAGTGGCAATATATCACTGTGTCAGCTCCAGAATTCTCTTTCAATTCCTACTCTGTGTAAAGAGATAGTGCAGGTTGTGGGAATCTAGTACATGCCCTGGCTCTGCCCAGACAGGATGGCCGTTTGTTTCTTCAATTGCGGGAAAGTGAATGCTTGGCGCTTGAAGTTTGTTTCTTCAATTGCGGGAAAGTGAATGCTTGGCGCTTGAAGTTTGTTTCTTTAATTTCAGTTTCTTCCCCTTGATCCGCCCCACCCTGTCTGCCCGCTGCTCTGCTTTGCTCCTCCCCGCAGGTTCAAAGAGGCCAAGGATGCAGAGGAACGGCCGGAGGAAGAGCGAGGAGTAGAGTAACGGACAAGAGAGGACGTTGAGTGAACTGGATGAAAGGATGGATGTCTCTTTGCCTCTCTGGTGTGTTCCCACCCCGCCTTCTGCTCTGCTCTGCTCTGCTCTGCTCTGCTGTGCTCCTCCCCGCAGGTTCAAAGAGGCCAAGGATGCAGAGAAGCGACCCGAGGAGAGGGAGGACTTCAGTGATATGGTGGCGGATGTGAGTGCATGCGTGGGGAGGCGGGGGGGGGGGGAGCGGAGGGAGAGGGGAGGGGAGGTGGAAAAAGGGGAGAGGGGGGGAAAAGGGAGAGGGGGGGAAAAGGGAGAGGGGGGTAAAAGGGAGAGGGGGGGAAAAGGGAGAGGGGGTAAAAGGGAGAGGGGGGGAAAGGGGGCAAGGCGAGCGGAGAAAGGTGCTACATAGACGGTGTTCGTGTGTATTTAGTTTTTTAGATCACTTGTTGTGACAGATGTGTTCTCTTTTCTTGTTTGTTTCTATTGTTCCGATTTATGCTTGAACTATGTGCGGTGCTGTACAGATGGAGAAGAAGCGCAAGCGCAAGGCACAGGACAAGGACAAGGCAGTGAAGAAGCAAAAGGACTTCAAGTTCTAAACCAGGAGCACCCGACTCCACTCCAACCATGTTCACCCATCTTCATCCACCTTCACCAGTCACTACCACCGTCACCAAGACACAGAACAAGGACAAGGCAGTGAAGAAGCAAAAGGACTTCAAATTTTTTAACGAGGAATACTGTACCACTCAACCCATCTTCAACCTTCACCACCTTCAAGTATATCGACTTAAGTGCTTGTTTTTCCTGGGAATTCACGAGGCGAGGAACTTGCTCCGCTCAACAAGCACATGCATACCTGAGACATGTTTGAGTTAATTTTTGGTCCCACTATGGTGTATGTATTTTCCTTTTTGTTGCTAGATTGTGCGAGCATCAAATTCGTGTAGGGCCAGGTTCTGTTGACATACGCACTTCGGGGCCTAACAGTCGTAACTACACTGAAGCTATTCAAGAGCAACGAGCAAAATCCAAGCCAAAACCAAGTCCTGGAAACATAGCCCTAGAGAGAATACCGTAAATGCTTGTAGCTGGGTCAGTTTCTACTAGCTGTCCCATCACATTAGTCATCACGTCATGTCGTCTGACTCATGTCATGTCATGTCATGTCATGTTACGTTACGGCGGTCGTTTCATGAACGTCATGTCTGTCACGTCACATAACCGTATGACCTCAATTCGCTTGCAGCAAGCACGGCTCAATAATCAGGGCTGGCTTCACAGGAGAAGAAACGCCTGACCTGCACGACCTTGCTAAATGACACCTGCTTCCTCAGATTCTCTCCTCCACGCCCATTCGCCGGGGACAGGCACAACTCGATAATCAGGGCTGGCTTCGCAGGAGAAAAAACTCCTGACCTGCACCACCTTATCACATGACACCTGCTTCCGCACAGCTTCACCCCTCCACACCCATTCGTTAGGGACAAACACCACTCAATAATCCGGGCTGGCTTCGCAGGAGAAGAAACTCCTGACCTGCACGACCTTATTAAACGACACCTGCTTTCTCAGCTTCGCTCCTCCACGCCCATTCGCCGGGGACAAGCACGACTTAATAGGGCTCCTCCCGCCCCTCCTCCCCCACACAGCCATCTCAGCATAACCCATGTGTTCCCGGCTTTCTAAGTAACCCCCATCGACTGAATTTCTCCGCACGAACCTCCGTCCAGTCCCTGCCTGCACCACCCTCCCTCTCTCCCTTACTTGCCGTCCGTTTTCCTCGACAGCTGTCGATCCGTCTGCGCAATCTGCACTCCGGGACCGTGCAAACGCCTGTAGGGTTCCCGTTCCCTGTAGGGCGCCTGTAGGGTTTATACCCATTCCCACCACACTCTGTCCCAGAGGAGAAATGTCAGGGTGAGAAGGTGAGAAAGGGGGAGAGGGAGTGTGGAGCAATTCTCTTGCTTGCGGGTTGTTTCTACGGGCGGTGATGGCGGTGGCGCCCGGGGTGGAAGTATTGGGAAGGTTGGGAAGGATGAGGTGGTGTGAGGGAGGGTACAGGTCGGTTGGGCTACTGTTGGGAGTCAATTCGGAGGCACTTGGCTGGTGCCTTTGATTCTGTGTCTGGATCATGTCTGTAACCATACCCATTTCCATACCAGCGCCCACACTTGTGCCTAAACCTGTAGCTGCCCTCATTCCTCCCCCCATGCTTGCCTCCATTCCCATACCACTGATACTTGAGGGACACTCGTGGTGAGGCAGGGACGAAGGGGAGATATGGGTAAGGTCAAGGGAAGGGGAGCAGTGGGTACAATCTGGATGAGAAGCGCCTGAGTGAGGGAGATTTGGTGAAGGAAGGGGAAGGGGGTCCTGGAAAGGCGATTGGGACTGGTGGGTGGGGGAGCGGATAGAGGAGGCGCGTTGGAAGCGGCGGGACGAAGAGGGGGAGATCCCAGGGGAACAGGTGGGGCAGCGGGGAGGCTTGGAGGGGGATACGGGGGGGCGCGTGGGGGAGTGGGCGGAGGGGGAATGGGAGGGGCAGGTGCGGGAGTGAGTGGGAGAGGAGACGAGCAGGGGGAAGGGCGTAGTAGGCCGAAGTGGGGGGGCGGTAATGGGAGGGGGGCGGGAGAATATGGAGGGGATTGGCTTGTGTTGGCTTGAGGGGGAGGGTGACGGAGAAGACGTTGGGGCGTGAGAGAGGGCGGACGGCCGGGGGAGGGCGTTGGGGGAGGATGGTTGGAGGGAAGCGGGGGGTGGGTGAAGGGAGGCGGAAGGGGAAGGAATGCGGGCGTGCATGGGGAAGGAGGTGGCGGGAGGGTGGGCGGGCGCATGGGGGGAGAATGAGGAGTGGGATTGGGGGGAGGGTTTGTGGGAGGCGGAGGGGGAGGGTGGCGGGGAGAGCATAGGGGCACTCCCCATTGAATGCGCATTTGCCGCTGCAGCTGCAGCTTCAGTTTGCTCAGTAGGATTCAGCTGCCCCCATTCGCCATCAGCACGCTCGGTACAAGCACTCTCGTTATAAGCACCCTCGTCAAAAGGGCTCGCGTTATCAAAGTCAGTTCCGGCCGCGGAACTATCAAACGACACCTGCAACCGCTTCAGCCGCTGCTGCACCTCTAACGAGAACCTCCTTATCGCGGATGCATCCCCGGATGCACCCCCGGAACCACCCCCAGGACCACCCCGAGCGCCGCCACCTCCATTCTTAGAGCCGGATCTCTCCTTAAAGCTGCTGTTCGCGATGAAGCTGCTGTTCGCGCTGCTGCTGTTACAGCTACTGCTGCGAGCACCGCTTCGCTGTAAGCTGCCTCGTTGTAAGCTGCCTTGCCGCTCGTGAGGAGAAACCCTTCCAGCAGCAGCAGCGCTTCCAGTGGGGGACGTGACGCGGTGCAACCCCCGGTTTCCCGTGCCTCCGCTCCCCCCGGTCGGCTGCGCCCCGCCGCCCAATCCGCGGAGCATTTCCGCCGCCGCTGCCACCAGCTGCGCCTCTGCCAATGGCGCAAGGTCCGCAGACGCGCAACCTCCTCGTTTTGCACCTTTCTGCTGCGCGGGCCGCGCCATCACTGCTCCGTCGTCGTCGTCGTCGTCGTCGTCAATATTAACCTCACTGTTACGGTTATCGTCATCGCTCAACGGGAAGTTCCCTTCGGGACTACCGGCTCTATGCGCGGCGTTACGGGGAGATCTCGTTGCTGCGGAGGGGGAAGCGGCGGATTGCGGGGAAGCGGCGGACCAAGGGGGAATTTTGTCCCCAATCGCGGAAGTTCTTTGCGCAGTGAGACTCCGCCGTGTCGGAGGGATGTGATCGGAATAACCGCTCATGTCGGGGGAACGCGCATTGGCGGACGCGGAACGCGCCATACGCCGCCCGGCGGGCGCGAGTGAATGCGGCGAGACGGAAGAGGCGGGGAACGCCGCGGAAGAGGTGGAGGAGGCGGAAGGAGGAAGAGTCGCGGAAGAGGTGGGGGAGGCGGGAAAAGGAGGGAATGCGGAAGCTGGCGGAGCTGCTTTCGAGGGCGGTTTGTCCATCGAGGCCGGTATAGGCCTCGACGACTCGCCGACGGATGCTTCGACGGACAAGCGGAAGCCTGCAAACTTGGACACACCATCATCCACGTGTCCAGCAGCGGCCGCTGACTCTCCGTCAGCTGACAAGGATCCCTTCTCCGCATTCGACGGCGGTACAAGTATGTCACGTGAGCCGCGGGTTTCCACGGATCCTGATGCTTTCCCCGCCGGGGATGTTCGCCCTCCGCCGCGTCCTGCTGCTTCCCGCGTGCCTTCCGCTCCTCTCTCTGCTGGTGCGAATCTGGCGCCTTTACCATCTCCGCGGATCTCGGCTGGAGCTTTTCGCCCTCTGCCGCGTCCTGCTTCTTCCCCCCACGTGCCGTCGAAGGCACGCGGCTCCGCTCTTCCCTCTGCTGGTTCGGATCTGGCGCTTACATCATCTCCGCGTATCTCGGTGGGAGATTTCTCCCACGATATCGACCGCCTCTCGCCCCGCGCGCGGCGGAATCGGAAAAGGTCGCCGGAAGAGCGCGCAGAGGGGGCATTCGCCGCGGAAGCGCCTGGTTCGCGGGCTGTACTTCCGCCCCCGCGCAAGAGGCGGAGAAACCCGCCCGAGCATTGCGCCTTCCCCTTCCGCGCATTCGTTAGCGTGCGCGGTGATTCCGCACATTCGTCCGTGGTGATTGTGCCTTCCCCATCCGCGCATTCGTCAGCGCGCCGCGCGGGGGAGTCATCCCTCCACTCCTTGTCCATGTCGTTCGACGAGGTAGCCCTCCGCCTAACGACTTCCGCGTACGGGCTGCGCACGGAAGAAGGCGATGGCGGAAGCCAGGGGGAAGTGCTTTCCGTTATTGTGGGCCCAACGCCGCCGCGGTACTCGCTGTTGGAGAGCGACTCGGATGTATCTTCTTCCGCGAACCTTGACATCATTCTTGAAACTATGAAGGGATAATGAAAAAACGGACTGTTCGGTACTAATGAAGAACGGTGACGGAGACCGAGGAATAGAAGGGCAGTCACGAGGCCTCATTTTCCGTTTGAGATCACTGGAAATTCGAGCATCACTCGGCAGGACCGAGTGACACGCTATAAGCCGGGTAAAGCCGGGTAATATCGTGTCCACACATTGGTGGGTGATGATGTGATGTGAGAGAAAACGAGGAGGTCAATTTCACAATGCGCTTCGATGCAGCGACTTGGTCATTGTGTGACTGGTTACGCAGTGCCTGATTCGCAAATGCTTGTGATTGGCAACATCGAGGTCGCCAGCCCAAGGCGACAAAACGAAAATGGAAGTGAACCGTGCAGAAGAAAGTCAACCATTGCTCCAATAATTTTCCTGTCTCCGCTTTATATCCTACTTGATCTGATCCGTTGTAGTTCCCAGGGTATTTCTGGGATCCCCATACTACGCGTCAAAAGCTACACTTGCTGCTAGGCTTTGCTAAACTACACGACCTCGTTTTCGTGGTCCATATTTGTGGAAGTGGGAAAGGGAGTTGTGACTCTTCTTTTGCCCAGCACCATTCCACAACGGCTGCCCAGCAGCGCGAACACTTCATCAGTTTTCTTAGGTCATAGTGAAAGGTCAACAGTGACTGTAGTGCGTGGAAATGGTCGCTCCTAGGCAGAAACAAAGTGGACTGGTCAACGCACTCACTGCTGTAGGAAAAGCCCACAAACAAATACACCTGATGCCCATTTCAGTCCCGTTCCCCATCTTTCTCTGTGCTCCTCTTTCGAGCACGCGCTCACTACGGGGAGAATGGGACTGTATCTGGGTAGCCCAGCGTGTCTTGTCTGGGAAACTCGAATAACTTATTCGATGTCAAGAATATCTTACTTTTGTCGTGGGCTAGTAACGCGCGGGCCGTTGGCTGTAAATGTCGACCACTGGGCGTATGGAGTGGCAGTGGGCGTGTTCAGATTGGGCGGTTGAGTGAGCATTAGGGTGTACAGTAGTGTCAAATATTATAGCCTGTAGTGGGTTGGGCTATATGGGGTACAACTAGTTAGGGTTAGGTTATGTACCCCAATTCTGTCAATGCAACACATTCCGCTGTAGTTCTCATTCAGACATGGTATCAGCAGTAGGTTAGCGCTCCTAGCCCTAGGCCCGCCCGTCCCTACCATTAGGGTTACCACTGCGCCCCGCCAGCCCGCCAGCGCCCTACCCCACGCCCCAGCCGGCGCGCCCCTCCCCTCCCCGCCCTTAGCCAGCGCGCACGCCAGCCAGCCAGCGCGCCAGCCAGCCAGCGCGCCAGCCAGCCAGCGCGCCTGCCAACCAGCGCGCTAGCCCGCCAGCCAACTAGCGCGCCAGCGCGCCCGCCAGCCTGCGCGCCAGCCCGCTTGCACGCCAGCCCGCCAGCGCGCCCGCCAGCGGGCACACCAGCGAGCCCGCCAGCTCGCCTGCCAGCGCGCCCGCCAGCGAGCTCGCCAGCGCGCCCGCCAGCGAGCCCGCCAGCGCGCCCGCCAGCACGCACGCCAGCGCGCCCACTAGCGCGCCCGCCAGCGCCCCGCGCCAGCGGGCCCCGCCGGCGCGCACGCCAGCGCGCCGCGCCCGCCACAGCGCGCCCTGCCTAGCCGCCCGCCAGCGCGCCGCGCCCGCGCGCCACGCCAGCCAGCGCGCCCCGCCAGCGCGCGCCCCGCCAGCGCGCGCCCCGCCGCCCCGCGCCCAGCCAGAACGCGCCCCGCCTGCGCGCACCCGCCTCGCACTCACCTCCCTCTCCTCCTCCTCTCGCGGCTGGCGGCCGCTATCACTTGTTCTCGCCCCTCATGGCGACGTCTCGCGTGCTCCGTTTCGACCCTGAGGGGCGCGCGATCGACTTTAGTACCTGGCTGACGCAGGCCCAGCGCCACCTTAGGAGCCAGCGCCAGGATGGCGTGCACCTGTTTGCGCATGCGTCCGGTGCTCTGCCCGCCCCGCCGCAGCCTACACCGCTGCCCACTACCCCACCGCCTACTTCCGAGCAGGAGGCTGAGTACCAGCGCCGGTTCCTCGCTCGTGACGTGTGGGAGTCTCGTGACGCTGCTGCCTGCCTCGCCCTGACCGACCTTCTCCCGCCGACTGAGGCCGTCCACTTCACTCAGGTCGAGTCTGCTGCAGCCCTTTACACTGCTATTGTTGCTCGCTACTCCACTCCCTCCTCTGCCTCCCTCAGCCGCCTTCTCGTCCCCTTTATCTACCCTGACCTCGCCTCCTTTGAGACTGTCGCTGACCTCGCTACCCACCTGCGCTCCCTTGAAGCTCGCTTCAAGGCCGCTTGCACTGAGGAACAGCTTGCCCTTGCACCCCCCCCCATGTGGCTCACTATTCACTGGTTAGTCACTCGCCTCCCTGACCGTCTAGCCACAGCCCGCGACGCGCTTCTCCTGAAGCACCCCACTGAGCTTACTATCGATCTTCTTGAGACCGCTCTCTCGAAGATCGAGAGTAACCTCCTCGCTGTTGCCTCCGCCTCTTCCGCGCCTCCTCCTCGTCTCTTTGAGGGGTGTGCGGTACCACAGCTTCCCACCTTCACTGCCTCGCTTGCCACTGCCGCGTCTTCTGCCTCTGAGGAGACGGCGGCCGTTTCTGTCTCTGGCGGACAGAAACGTGGCAAGTCCGGCAAGAAGGGAGGGAAGGGCGGCGGGGGTTCTGGGGGTGTTGCGGGTGGCGGCGGTGGCGGTAGTACTAGTGGCGGGGGTGGCGGCGGGGGTGACTCGGGACCTGACGGCTCTCCTCTAGACGGTGGTGAGGGGTTTCCGCAGCAGCAGCAGCAGACTCCTCCGCAGCTGCCACCGCCTGGACAGCAGCAGCGGCAGGGACAGCAGCAGCAGCGCCAGGGCCAGCAGCAGCGTCCGCCTCAGCAGCAGCCCCAGCAGTGGGGCACTCAGCAGCAGTGGGGCACTCAGCAGCAGTGGGGTCCTTCGCAGCAGTGGGGCCCCCCGCAGCAGTGGAGACCTACGGGCCCCCCGAGCACTGGGCGCAGTGGTGCCCCTTCTAGTCGGGGACCCCGCTCGGCCGGCCGCGACGTTGGTCCCTGTGAGTACTGGATCCTGACGGGTCCGCGCAGGGGCACGTACTGTGGCCGCCCTGACCACTCTGCTGCACGCTGCTTCAGCCGTCTCGACGACCTGTACGTCCTGCACCACGGCCCCTCCGCTCCCCCGCCACCGCGCTGGGGACCACTCCTTGCTCGTGGTGTTGCGGTGTTTGATATGTCTATGGATGATGCTAGGTCTTATGCGATGTATGCTGATGTTGACTATAGTGCTGCTGGATCTGTTTACTTGCCTGTACCTAGCGTAGGATCTTTGCCTGTTGCTAGAGTAGGTGCTGGTGTAGGATCCTGTCTAGCTACTAGTACAGGTGCTCCCTCGGCGGACGCGTCGCTCTCCTTCACACTGGACTCCGGAGCGACGCAGTGCTTCTTCCGCGACAGCACGACTCTTACTCCACTCTCGGCGCCGGTTCCTGTAGCACTGGCTGATCCCTCTTCGGGACCGGTCATTGCGACTCACGCCACTACCCTCCCGTGCCCAGCTGCCCCTTCCGGTTCTCTGACCGGCCTCCACGTTCCTACTTTCTCTAGGAACCTGGTTGGTGTGGCTCCTCTGGCGAGACAGCACGTCGGGGTCTGGTTTGAGCCTTCTGGTGACACTGCAGTCTGTGTGGACGGTGACACGTACGCCCCTCTGGCCACTTTTCGTCAGGAGTCGGGCTCTGGTCTGTACACCCTCCACACCGACACCCGTCCGGTTCCCCCGTCCCACCAGGTAGCCAGGTCCAGTCAGGTAGCTGTGCCAGGTCTAGTGGCTGCGTCGTGCTCGTGTCGGTCGCTGTCCCACCCTGTCCTCCTCTGGCACCACCGCCTTGGTCACCCGTCCCTCTCTCGTCTCCGCGCTATGTCCAGTCAGCGTCTTGTCTTAGGCCTCCCCCGCGACCTCCCGCCGCTCCCGCCGTCCCCCGCTCCTCCGTGCGGTCCTTGTGTCATGGGTCGGCTGCGCGCCACTCCTCACTCCTCCTCCCTTCGTCCAGCCTCCGAGCCCTTTGAGACACTCCACTTAGACGTCTGGGGCCCCGCTTCCCGGCTTGGCCCTGAGCGAGAGAGCTTCTTTCTAGTGGTCGTTGACGACTACTCTCGGTACACCACCGTGTTCCCTTTGGCGAAGAAGTCCGACGTGACTTCTACGCTGATCCGGTGGCTGCTCGCCACCGAGAGTACTCGTCGTCGTCGTGTCAGTTGTCTCCACTCCGACCGTGGGGGTGAGTTTCGCTCCGGCGTTCTCGCCAGATTCTGTGCTGAGCAGGGCATCACCCAGTCCTGGACTCTTCCAGACTCTCCACAGCAGAATGGGGTTGCTGAGCGCCGGCTAGGCCTGGTCATGGAGATTGCCCGCACCTCCATGATCCACGCCCGCGCGCCCCATTTTCTGTTGCCCTAAGCGGCTCGGTACGCCGCTCACCAGCTGAACCTCTGGCCTCGCGTCTCTCGGCCAGGGGCTTCACCGACCAGTCTTTGGACAGGGTCCCCTGGTGTTGCGTCGAGGTTTAGTGTCTGGGGCTGCTTGGCGCTTGTCCGCGACACCTCTGCGGACAAGCTCTCACCTCGCGGCGTCCCCTGTGTCTTCCTTGGTTTCCCTGAGGCCTCCTCTGACTTCACCTTTTACCACCCTCCCTCCCACCTCCGTTTCGACGAGTCTGTCCCCTACTACGTCCGGTACCCCTGTCGAGGTCTCCCGGTTCCCCCCCCCCCCCCCCCCTCTTCCTGTCTCCACCTCCTTCTCCTCCCGCCCCTGCTCCTCCGGTACCCCCCCCTGGTCCTGCTCCGTCTGGTGTGTCCCACGCTACTCCCCCCCCCTCGGTACCCCCCCAGGTCTCACCTCCTTCCCCACAGTCGTCCTCACAGCCTCCGCAGCAGCCGTCAGCGCTTCCTTTACCGGCCACTGCGGACTCTGAGGGTGTTGGTGCTCGGGGTGAGGGCTCTGGCGGTGCTCGCTCTGGGGGTGCTGGCGTTGGAGCTGTTAGTGCACCTACAGGAGCCGCCCGTTCTGGGGGTGTTGGCGTTGGCGCTGAGCGTGCACCCGCCGCGGCTGCCCGTTCTGGTGGTGCTGGAGCTGGTGGTGTTTCTGGAGCTGGAGAGTCTGAGGCTGGTGCTGGTGCCACTGGAGGCACCCCGACTGGGGGTGCGGGTCCACCTCCTACAGGTACTAGTCGTGCTGCCGCAGGGGGTACACGCTCTGGGGGTTCTCAGCCGGGTGCTGTTGAGGGTGGAGCCGGTTCTTCTTCTTCGTCTCCTGACACCACTCCTCCTCCTCACCCCTACCTGACTCGACACCAGACCCGTCTTCGTCTTGAGCGTGAGGAGCAGCAGCGTTTGGAGCGTGAGAGGTTACGGTTCAGCAGCGGGTGGAGCGTGAGAGGCTGGAGTTGCAGCGGGAGCAGCAGCAGCAGCAGCAGCAGCAGCAGCAGCAGCAGCAGCAGCAGCAGCAGCAGCAGCAGCAGCAGCAGCAGCAGCAGCAGCAGCAGCAGCAGCAGCAGCAGCAGCAGCAGCCGCCGCAGCAGCAGCAGCAGCAGCAGCCGCCGCCGCAGCAGCCGGAGCAGCCTCCGGCCTCTGTTACTGGCCTTCGGGCCCTTGGTCTCCCCTCCTCCTCTCCTCCTGTGTTCGGTCCGACGTTTCCTCCTCCGGACTCAGCTCCGGCTGTGTTCCCTCGTTCTCAGTCTCCTCCGTCTCCCGCTCCGTCTCCCACTCCTCTCTCCCACACTTGGGCCTCTCGTCCTCCTCGTGCTCGTCCCTCGTCACCTGTCCGTGACCTTCGTACCGTGTTGTTTCGTCCTAGTCCTCCTCGTTCTCCTCCGTCTGTTCTTCCTCGTCCTCCTGAGTCGTCCCTCACTGCCTCCCTGTCTACTCCGGTCACTGACTACTACCGCACGTACCGCCCCACTCTCTCTCGTGTTCTCGCCTCTCTTGTTACAGACCCTCGTGCCTCTCCTTCCTCCGTCGCGGTCCTCACTGCCGCTGTCACAGACTTTACTGCTACGCGTCGCCTTGACTACGCCACTCGCGTTGTGGCGGCTCCTCCTGTCCGTCCTCTGTCCGCCGGGGGTGAGTTTGCCCTTGGCTGTGCCGTCCTAGAGGATAGACAGTTTGAGCTAGAGTTCCTGGCAGCCGCTTCACCTCATCTCTGTGCCATGCTGCTCGCTCCTGAGGGAGACCCCGACGCTCCTGACATACCTACTCCTCGCACTTACGCTGAGGAAGTGTCAGGGCCTTGGGCCTCTCAGTGGAGAGCTGCCATGGACGCAGAGATGGCCTCCTACAGGTCCACAGGCACTTACGTTGACGAGGTTCCCCCCCCAGGGGCGAACATTGTTGACGGCATGTGGATCTTCAAGGTGAAGCGGCCGCCGGGATCTCCTCCAGTCTTCAAGGCACGCTACGTGGCTAGAGGTTTCAGTCAGCGTGAGGGAGTTGACTTCTTTCAGACCTTTGCGCCCACCCCGAAGATGACCACTCTTCGGGTGTTACTGCACGTAGCAGCGCAGAGAGACTACGAGCTACACTCTCTCGACTTCTCCACTGCCTTCTTGCAGGGCAGCCTACACGAGGAGATCTGGCTGCGTCGTCCTCCGGGCTTCACTGGCACTTTCCCGCCTGGGACCCAGTGGAGCCTCAGACGACCGGTCTACGGTCTCCGCCAGGCACCCCGTGAGTGGCACGACACTCTCCGCTCTACTCTGTCCGACCTTGGGTTTGAGCCGTCTTCCGCCGACCCGTCGCTGTTTGTTCGTCGTGGGCGCACACCTTTCTTTGTTCTTGTCTACGTTGACGACCTGGTTTTTGCCACAGCCGACACAGTTGCACTGGCGGAGGTGAAGTCCGAACTGCAGAAGAGACACACCTGCACTGACCTTGGGGAACTGCGCCGCTACCTTGGCCTGCAGATCTCCAGGGACAGAGCCGCTCGCACCATCACTCTGACTCAGTCACACATGGTGCAGCAGGTCCTTCAGCGGTTCGGGCTTCAGCACTCCTCTCCTCCTCCCACCCCTCTTGCTGTAGACCACAGACTCACTGGGCCTTTTCCTGACGAGCCGTTCGAGCCCAGTGGTCCCTACGCAGAGTTGGTGGGCTGCCTCATGTACCTGATGACGTGCACTCGCCCGGACCTCGCCTTCCCTCTTAGCATCCTTTCTCGCTTTGTTGCGACAGGGAGACACCGTCCTGTTCACTGGGCGGCGGCTAAGAGGGTGGCGAAGTACCTCGGCGCGACATCAGACATGGGGCTTGTACTTGGAGGGACACAGCCAGTTGTACTCACCGGTCACTGCGACTCCTCCTACGCCGACGACGTTGAGTCACAGAGGTCTACACAGGGTTACTGTTTCAGCCTGGGCTCTGGAGCTGTTTCGTGGAGGTCTACTCGGTCCTCCTCTGTTGCGACTTCTACCGCAGAGGCCGAGATCTACGCTGGAGCCCTCGCTGCACAGGAGCTACGCTGGTTGACCTTCTTGCTCACTGACCTTGGTGAGCGGCCGAGCTCTGCACCGACCTTGTTTGCTGACAACAAGGCGATGATTCTCCTGTGTCGTGAGCCTCGACTGGAGAGCAGAGTGAAGCACATCGACGTCAGGTACTTCCTCCTTCGAGAGTTGCAGAGACGCGGGCAGGCTCGTCTGGAGTTTGTGGCCTCCGAGGCCAACACTGCAGACATCTTCACCAAGGCCCTCCAGCCTTGTGACCACCGCCGGTTTTGTCTGCAGTTAGGCCTCGTTGAGACTGGGTCTAGTTGACTGCTGTAGGGTGCTCTTTGTCTGTTGCTTGCATATATATTTGTTTGCACACTTTTGGACTGGCCTTGTGGCCCTTTGCTTGTGCTCAGATTAGGTGGTGACGTTGTGATCCACCCTGAGCTTTGTTTTCTTTCTCTTGCTTTTGACTGGTCTTGTGACCGTAGGTTGCTTGTTGTTGATTGGCCTTCCCCACTTAGGCTATGGGGGTGTGTCAAATATTATAGCCTGTAGTGGGTTGGGCTATATGGGGTACAACTAGTTAGGGTTAGGTTATGTACCCCAATTCTGTCAATGCAACACATTCCGCTGTAGTTCTCATTCAGACAAGTAGTGACTGTCACAATTAGCTCGATACAGGTCCTTCCGCAACAACGCAGATCAAAATCAGATACACGACCACTAAAGAGTTGCAACCAACCCATGCATAAAGTTGCAATCATACACCTCCAAATAGAGAACAAAACAGTAGGATGTAGTGGATGAACATGCGCTTGCAATGTGATTTACGTTACAAGGTAGTTTACACAAAAGAAAATAGCGTAGTACAACAGGCCCTAGTCTGAACTGAACATATGGTAACCACATATCAGCATAGTTTTAATAAAATACTCACTTGCAGCTGGATGAGCGAGGGGGGAGGGAAGTAGCAGACTGGTACAAAGGCTGGTGCTACCTAACCAGTAAAAACAAAAACAAAAAAATGGGTTAATAGACCACGCACACACGCACTCCGACACGTGCTCACACCATCTTCCCCCTTCCTACCCCCCCCCCCCCCCCCCCCCACACCCCACCCCACACCTCACTCGCCCCCTCCCCTTTTCCTCTCCTATCCCCAGGCTTCTCCCCCCACACACACGCGCATGAGCGTGAGAGCGCACAAGCTAAAAACAAACAAACAAACATAAAAATTACCACCATTACGTTATGATGCCATGCATGTTATGCCATGTCATGTCTCGTCATGTTGCGCCTTGTCATGTCATGTCATGTTAGGTCATGCCTCAATGTCACGTCTTGTCATGTCATGTTACGTCTTGGCCAGTCATGTCACAACTTGTCAAAACTAATACGTCACGCCTGTTTGACGATCTCCCCCCCCCCCCCCCCCCCCCCCACCACCAATGCTATCACTGCCCAAGGAGGAAACCTTACCACTCGCACCACCCAGCAGACCTCCACCTGCTACTTCAGCTGCTCGTATCTCATGCTGCTCACCCATCAGCAGGCTAACTGCCATGTCAGTAACTTGTCTCATGAGTCATCATCGCCACTGCTATGTCATGCCATGTCACGTCACGTCATGTCATGTCATGTCATGTCATGTCATGTCATGTCATGTCATGTCATGTCACGTCACGTCATGTCATGTCATGTCACGTCATGTCATGTCATGCCATGTCATGTCACGTCATCACCCAATGCTGGCATCGCATGACGGGATCCACCTAACTTGCACCACACGATTGAACGACATCTGCTTCTTCAGCTTCCTCCCATCCCATGTTTGTCAGGCGTTAATAGCCCAGCCTCCCATGCCGGTACACTGTCTATCGCATGCCACGTCATCACCCAATGCTGGAATCGCATGACGGGAACTTCCTAACTCACATCACGCGATTAAACGACACCTGCTTCTTCAGCTTCGTGCCTCCCATCTCATGCCGGTGGGCCATAAGTAGCCAAGACTCCCATGCCGGTGGGCAATAAATAGCCAAGGCTCCCATGCCGGTGCGTTTCTACGTCATGTCTCGTACTCACTGACCAATGCTGGCATCGCAGGACGGGAACCGTCGCACGCGCACCACACGGTTAAACGACACCTGCTTCTTCAGCTTCGTGCCTCCCGATCCATTCGCCGGCGACAGGCATGACTTGATCGGGCTCTTCCCACCCCTCTCCTGCCCTCCTCCCATCTCCTGCCCTCCCATCCGCATTCCCATCTCAGCAGCACTACCCGAGCTAGTCCGGCCTCCCAGCGTCCCCGCGTCAACCGAGTTTCTCCTCGTGACCCGCCGTCCGCTCCCCGCCCGCACCCCTTCCCCTGTCACATGCACAGCCACTCTTCCCCCGAATTCCGCACTCTGGGACCGAACAAACACCCCTTCCTGCTCCATACCCACACCCATTCTCGCCACACTCTGTCCTGGTGGAGCGATGAGAGGGTGGGAAGGAGAGGAAGGGAGGTAGGGAGCGTGGAACGGAGCGTTCGCCTGGGGGTTGTTTCCTGGCGTGGTGGTGGCGGCGAATGGGATGGTAGAGTTGGGCAGGTACGGAGGGATGAGGTGGTGTGAGGGAGGGTAGAGATCGGTGGTGTCACTGTCAGGAGTTGAGTCAGAGGCAGATCTCTGGTGGAGCTGATCCTGCCCTGGGAATATGCCCATACCCATGCCAGTACCCATACCCATGCCAGTACCCATACCCATGGCCACACCCGTTCCTGCCCCCATACCTGTCCCCATACCTGTCCCCGCACCTGTTCCCATACCCATACCATTGGTTCCTGAGGGGAACCCCTGGTGGTGGGGCAGGGAGGAGGGGGGAAACTGGCTGAGGTCGAGAGATTGGTGTCGGCCGTGAGAGGGCTTTGGGGAAGGAAAGGGGTTCTGGAAAGAGGACTGCGACCGGGGAATGGGGGAGGCGCGGGGGGAGCGGCGGGACGAGGAGGGGGAGAGCGCGGGGGAACGCGTGGGGGAGCGCGGAGGCTTGGATGGGGATGCGAGGGGGCGCGTGGGGGAAGGGGCGGAGGGGAAAGGGGCGGAGGAGACGGGGCAGGGGAAGGTGGGGGATTGGGCGGGGGAGGAGGCGAGCAGGGGGAAGGCGGCAGCGGGCTGAACGGGGGGAGTGGTAAGGGGAGGGGGGCGGGAGAATATGGCGGGGACTGGCTTGCGCTGGCGCGAGGGGGAAGCGGAAGGGGAAGATACTGGGGCGCGGGGGGAGGCGGATGGGGGAGCGTGGGGGGAGGACGACCTGGGAAGAGCGTTGGGGGAGGCTGGCGGGACGAAGGCGCGGGGGGAAGCGGGGGGCGCGTGAAGGGAGGCGGAGGGGGAAGGCGCACGTGCGTGGGGGGAAGAGGAGGGGGAAGGCATGCCGGCGTGGGGGGAGGCGGAAGGAGAAGGAAACCGGGCGCGACGACGGCGGATAGGGGAAGAAGCGGGTGCGCCGAGGGGGGAGGGGGAGCAGGGAGCGTGGGGCGCATGGGGGGAGCGCTCTTGAGAGGCGGAGGAGGCGGGGGACGGTGACGGCAGAGGCGCGTTCCCCGTTGAGCCCGCTTTCTGCCGTTCCCCTTCGCCATAAGCACCCTCGATATAAGCACTCTCAGCGCCCTCGTCATAAGGGCTCGCGTTATCGGAGTCAGCTTCTGGGGCGGAATCATCAAACGATACTTGCAGCTGCTTCAGCTTCTCTTGCACCTCTATCGAGAGCCTCCTTATCGCGGATGCACCCTCCGGACCACTTCCGCCGCCGCCGCCACCGCCGCTGCCGCCTCCGCCGTTATTAGCGTTAGATCTCTCTTTATAGCTGCTGTTGCTGCTGCTGTTGCTGCTGCTGCCGCTGCGAACACCGCCTCGCTGTAAACATCTTCGTTGTAAGCTGTCTCGACTCTCGCGAGGAGAAACCTTTCCAGCAGGGGGGATACCACGTGGGGAAGCTGCGCGGTGTAAGTTGCCCGCGCCTCCGATTCCCCTGGTCTGCTGCGCCCCGCCGCCCAAACCGCGGAGCATATCCGCCGCCGCTGCAACCAACTGCGCCTCGGCGGATGGTGCAAGGTCCCCGGAACCTCCGCGATTAGCGCCTCTCCGCAGAACGGGCCGCGCCATCACCACTCCGTCATCGTCATCCTCGTCGTCATCGTCAATATCAACGTTAACGTTACGGTTAGTGTCAGTGTTAGAAGCTGTGTATTTCCGCCGAGGCGGAAGGATGTGACCGGAATATCCGCTCATAGGAGGGGGATAGCGGCGCGTCTGCGCATTGACGGAGGCGGATCGCGCGATTCGAGGCTGGGCGGCAGGCGAATGCGCCGAGGCGGAAGAAGGGGAAGGAGCGGCGGGGAGGGCGGAGGAAGTGGGGGAGGCGGAAGAAGCGGGGAAGGCGGAAGGAGAGTTGAAGGCGGGGGAACGCGGCGAAACGCCTTCCATGGCTAATTCCTCTTTCAGGGATGGCGCTTTACTCCTCGACGAGGAAGTAGTACCAGCTGCCACGTGGAAGCCCGCAGAGTTTGACACGTCATCCAAGTGTCCAGCCGCGGCAGCCGGGAGCTCGTCAGTCGAAGACGATCCTTTTTCCGCATCAGACGGCAAGGTTGGTGCCGCAGTCTCAGACTTCCGAGGCGCCATAGAAGCTACTTTAGATCCAGGCGGCGCGGCGGTCTCATTGGAGCCGCGGGTTGCGGCAAGGGGCGAGGCGCGATCCCCCGCTCCTCCTGCTCCACTTGCTCCCCCTGCTCCACCTGCTTCCGCTGCTCCCCCTCCGCCCCCGCCCCCGCCCCCGCCCCCTCCGCGTCCTCCTTCCCGCCCTCCTTCCGCTCCCTCTACTGCTGCTGCAGAACTGGTGCCGTCGCCACCGAGCTTAGGAGGAGTTTTTTCTCGCGATGGCGTCGACCGCCCTTCGCCTCGCGAGCGGCGGAAGCGGAAGAGGTCGGCGGAAGAGCGCGCAGGGGCGGCGCTCGTGGCGTTACCTGGTTCGCGGGCGGTATTTCCGGTCCGCCCGCGCAGGAGGCGGAGAAAACCGCTGCTGCGGCTGCCGCGGGACCCGTCGGTCTCCCCCACAGTGCTTGCGCCTTCCCCCGCGTGCGCGCATGCACCGTCAGTCAGCGCGGAATCATCGCCCCACTCCTTGTCCATGTCGTTCGACGAGGTGGCCTTCCGCCGAACGACTTCCGCGTGGGGGCTGCGCACGGCGGAAGCAGATGGCGGAAGCCATGCGGAAGTGTTCTCCCCTGATGTGGGGCCAGCCCCGCCCTCGCGGGCGGGGAGCGACATAGCTTCAACCGCGTACATTATCCTTGAAACTGATGAGGGAGGGTGAAAAACTGGCTTCTAGCTCGGCAATAAATATTTGGCTGCCACGAGACGTGTCGGTTTGGCGTGTTGGTCGATAGTATGGTAACGGAATATCGTTGACAACGCGCAAACTCGATTGCGTCTGCTCAAGAGATTTTGAACTGAAGGGGAAGGGATCTAAGGAGAAGAGAGTCGTTGAAGAGGGTCGGTGGAAGGGCAGATTGGGGGTGCTAGTGGGTGGAGCAGACAAATACACGTCGCGATATTTTGGGAGCTGACAAGCAAGGGTTGAACCTGAGGTGAGGTGAGCGAAGAAGTGGTGAACTCTTTCTTGGCCCATCCCCATGCCGCAGCGCTGATGCAAGTTCACGAAGCGCCTCGATCCAGCTTCTTGGGTCTTGTTGATTGGTTACGCGGTGCGCTCAATCTCCTTTACGAGAGCTTCGGATTGGTCGTTTACGTTTCGCGAAGCAGCTGCGACAACAGAAATCCCACGTCGCAGCTGTTGGACAGGTATGAGGTGATTTTTTCACCTGTTGTTCACTCCACTCCTGCTGCAGCATTTGGCTATTTTGTCCTGATGGTGGGAAGTGCACGCGTGAGAGAAAGTCAACTCCTACAGAACTTTGACGATCCCGCTGGGTATAATTACAATTAAAAGCCGGAAAAGTCAGCGCAGCCAGACTTTTGCCGCACACGCTGTAATAGCATTGAGCTGGACATTCCATACCTACTGATTCCTCCTGGTACAGCTGATGCTCACACCATGCACGCGAATTTGCCTTGCGCCAGATGGATACGCTGCACCCGAGGTTGTTTCCCCAGCTTCGCGTGGTTATCAACCAATAGTAACGAACATACCGAAGTCAAGCAGAAGAGACTGAAGTCAAACGAGGTAACAGATCTTGTTTATAAGCACATGCGAATCCTTTTTAGCTAGCTGCGAATTGACGAAACTTATGCGAAATGCTCGTGACAGCTTATACGCCCCCTTCATAAGGCAACCGGGAGGGGCTCAAACAGGCATCAGCTGTATAAGCAGTTCACCATACAGGTCCCGAGCTGATGGAGTGCACCGCGAATTGCAACACGTCCTCAGCACCATCCCATGTAGCTGTCTGTCCAAAGTCGCACTGTATTCCAACAGTTTTGAGGGTTGATCGTTGGGACGGTGGTTTCACCACGATATTTTTTCCCGTGGTTGGCTCTTTTAGGTGAAAAGGTCAACTCAACATGAAGCCCTGGACTTTTGGAAAAGAAAATCGGCGACCTTCCTGCAAGATATCGCACAAGCAAACAAAGTGTGACTGCGGCCGATTTTCTCGATACAAGACACTTCGAATTGCATCGGGACATCCCTGGCTTGATTGGGGCTTGCTAAAGAAAGCATGCTTAAACCATTGTTCCAGCATCATTACCATAACTATGTTCACACACAAAACTTCACGGTGACATATTTGAGGCTTCAAAACTTCATCAAGATTCCTCCAGCCCTTGGGAACTCCGCAACTTCTTTTTGAAATCAACGATGCAGGTATCGAGTCGCACAATAAAATCGTCTACCTCTTCCTTCGAACCTCCTATTGCAGCAGCTGCTGTGAGGTAGGGTACAGGGTAGCTGCTCACACACAGAAGGAGATACGGTACGGTACCGGGTACACGGAGAAAAAAAAGTGTTTTGAGTCGACGTGCAGCACTCATATTGCAGCAGCTCATGCTGCTCCAGCAATATAGGTTGCAGGGTAGCTGCCAAAGCACAGAACAAAATAGCCAGTACATTGAGAAGCACACACTCAGCACAATAGGCAAAAAGTAAGGAAGATTGGACTTGATACACACGTAACACGAATAATAGGATGTTTAGTCCAAAAGGTGTACCTATCATAAGATGATCCGAATCCCTGTAGTGCCACGCCTCCTATCGTTTGTGTCACACCTTGCGGCACAACCCGGCAACCTGACACAAAGCTGACACGGGCAGTGAGAGAGAGGGGTAGACAGAGGGGGAGGAGAGAGGGGTTGAAAAATTGGGTGCAAGAATCAGGGGTTGAGGAATAAGAAGAATTATTGGTTCTGATTGATTTGCAGGAGAATGACTGAGCCCAACGAATCAAATCATTTGGAAAAAAAAACTTGATGCCAAAAAAAAGCTTGACGCACACACTATTTGGCCAGATGAACTTGATGCACATTGATTTGATCGAGTCACGAATGATTCGACGGAAAAATGGAAGGGAACAGGAGCAGACAACGCACCGAGAGAAGAGCATTGAGCCGAGAAACGTGATGGGGGGGCCTTGTGGGGGGGGGATAAAGGGTGCTTGTGGTGGGGGGATGGAGGGTGCTTGTGGTGGGGGGATGGAGGGTGCTTGTGGTGGGGGGATAGGAGGGGCAGCGGTGGGCGGCACATGTGCTCCTTGTGAGCTGGTGACTTCTCTCGAGTCGAATGTCTCCCTCTGCTCCACACCTGCTCCGTCTGCTGCTGCGGCTGCTGTGGCTGCTGCTGCTGCTGCTGCGGCGGTGGCTGCTGCTGCTGCTGCTGTGGCTGCTGCTGCTGCTGCTGGTGGTGCTGCTGGTGCTGCTGCTGCTGGTGGTGGTGCTGCTGCTGGTGGTGGTGCTGCTGCTGGTGCTGCTGGGGCGAAAGCTGGTCCACATGCATCCTTCTCACTCGTACTTTCACTCTCACTCTTCCTTTCACTCTCACTCTTACTTTCACTCTCACTCTTCCTTTCACTCTCACTCTTACTTTCACTCTCACGCTTCCCTTCACTCTCCTCAATCTCCCTCTGCTCCACACCTGCTGGTGCTGCTGCTGAAGATATTTCTGCCGGTGACACATCAGCTGCTGAATCATCAACCACTACTGCTGCCACCGAGCACTTGGAGCCAGCCACGTCAGCACCAGCAGCCGAGGATGACACAGCTGGCGGTGATGAGTCAGCGGCAGCGCACGCCACGTCAGCATGTGCGTGAGCGGGGATGAGGGAGGAGAGGGAGATGGCTAGCGAGATGGGGTTGTGTGGCGACTGTAGCAGCCGCTCTCCTGAACAGGTGGCACAAGAGGGAGGTGATATGTTGGGGAGGTGATATGTGGAAAAGGTGACACTTGAAGAGGGAGGAGAGGGAGATGGCTAGCGAGATGGGGTTGTGTGGCAACTGTAGCAGCCGCTCTCCTGTATATGTCAAGGATGGCATGAGGGGAAGGGGGAGGTGATATGGAAGGTGACATTTGAGGAGGGAGGAGAGGGAGATGGTGATAGGTGGGGGAGATGGTGATATGTGGGGGAGGCAACATGTGAGGTTGCTGTGGTTTCCGTCTGTCAATATTTCTCGAAAGCTACTCACCATTCCATGTGATCTTCAGACATAATTCTCAGGGAGCAGCAGTAGTGAAGCTAGGCTTAAAGCAAAAAAGCAAACAGCTAGTATTGTACTCGCTGTGGTTTCCATCTGTCAAGATTTCTCAAAAGCTATTCACCATTCCATTTCATTCACAGCCATCGTCACACATGTCGGAAGGGCAGCAGCACTAGAAAAAAAGCTTTAGCAAGTAAGAAAGAGGGTAAAAAATTCCCTAGCTAAGAGAACTCTGATCGCAAGTTCCATTCCAGTCACAGCCACGCAGCTCAAGTTCCATCCCATTCACAGCCACTCAGCTCAAGTTCCATCCCATTCACAGCCACGCAGCTCAAGTTCCATCCCATTCACAGCCACGCAGCTCAAGTTCCATCCCATTCACAGCCACGCAGCTCAAGTTCCATCCCATTCACAGCCACGCAGCTCAAGTTCCATCCCATTCACAGCCACTCACCATGCCTCTCTGCCATCATTTGCATCTTGCCTTTCAGGTAACACCACACCACACCACACCACACCACACCACTCACCATGCTTCCCCGCCACCCCTTCCATCTTCTCTCTCAGGTAAAGAAAGAGTTGCTCTCGCTCCTGCAGCAGCGACAGCCAGCCGGTAGCCCCCAGGGAGAGGAGGGTTATGAGGACGTCGAGGATGGGCGAGATGGACGCACGGCCTGGGGTGGGGTGGGGTGGGGTGGGGTGGGGTGTGAAGGAGTGAGCTGCTCCTTCAGCGACAGCCTGCCACCCGGGAGCACCGAGGGGAAGGAGAGTTCTGACTCATAACTTATGATGACATCTAGGATGGACTCGATTCCCTCTCCTCCCCTCCTCCCCAACCACCTGGGTACGAGGCATTGACTGCGTTGACCAGCGTTGACTTGCCGAGCCAGCAGCAAGAACAGCCCCACCAACAGGCACGAGGAAGTTCTTATCAGTGCTCTGCACCACCGCATTCACCCGCCCTCTCCTCCGCAGCCCCTCTCCCGCACCCACCTGGGTACGAGGCATTGACTGCGTTGACCAGCGTTGACTTTCCAGGACCAGCGGCAACAACAGCCCCCCCAATCGGAACCAGGAAGTTCTTATTGGTGCTCTGCACCACCGCGTCCACCGGCCTCGCCCTCCACGCCCATGTGATGGCAGTGCTGATAGCAGCGCTGATAGCAGTGCTGATAGCAGCGCTTGCTCCCCTTCCCTCCCCATCAACAGCCCACCTGGATATGAGGCGTTGACTGCGTTGACCAACATTGACCGCCCAGGACCAGCAGCAACAACAGCCCCCCCAACCGGAACGAGGAAGTTCTTATCGGTGCTCTGCACCACGGCGTCCACCCTCCCTCTCCTCCACGCCCGTGTGACGGCAGCGCTGATAGCAGTGCTCTGCACGCCGTACGCGTTGTTGATGACGTGGGGGATGGAGAGACGGTGGCAGAGTCGAGCAATGGCTTCCACGTTATCAGGGGCTCTGGGAGGGGTGGGAGGGGTGGGTGGGAGTGAAGGAGGGGGCGAATGGCAGAGCCCGTTTGATAACAGCGCTGATAGCAGCGCTCTGCACGCCGTACGCGTTGTTGATGACATGCGGAAGAGAGAAGCACATGATCATGCGTTGGCAGAGGCGAGCGATTGACTCCACATGATCAGGAGCTTTGGTTGGGGTGGGAGTGAGGGGGGCGGTAACACTCGACCTGGGTGCTGGTGGCAGCGCCGATAGCAGCGCTATGCACGCCGTACGCGTTGTTGATGACATGCGGAATGGAGAGACGATGGCAGAGGCCAGTGATTGATTCAACGTTATCAGGAGCTCTTTTGGGAAGACAAGCGCTTAAGCCTGAAAAATCACCTGGGGGCGAAGCAGGAGGTGGTGGAGAGCACGCAGAGGATGCTCTCGGCCCCTCGATTGTGGATCTCTCCTTCCATGGCTGCAAGGTCCGTACACAGCTGGTCCCCCTCCTGACGCAGGGGCACCACCTGGTATGGTTGAGAGGAATGGTGTTGGGCACACAGGAATGGTGTTGGGCACACAGGAGTGAGGGCGGCAGTGAGGAATCACTGGAGGCATGTTAACACAGGTGTCTTTTGAGTCGACTCAAAAGCCGCATGTTAACACAGGTGTTGGTGTGGACATAACATGGTGACTTGGTGCATACAACTGAATGCTTGCGTCCACTTACCACAGGAGTAAGGCCAGCAGCGAGGATGCAGTTGAGGCATGTGTATGTGGGTGGGAGCGCACAGCATTTACTGGCCATCACTTGGTCACTTGGTGCATGTTGATGCTTCACCTACCAGGGGAGTGAGTCTGGCAGTGAGGATACACTTGAGACATGTCTTCTGGTCGATTCGCGACCATAGCACGTACCTGCCATGGCACACAGGGCATGCCATGCCATGCCACACATGCCATAGGACGCACGCCATGGGACAGATGAGATAAGGCACATGACACAGAGAAATGGCACAGGGCATATGGCAGATGGCACGCACATGACAACTCACTCACTCACTCACTGTGCGGCGGGTCTGCTGGCTTTGAGCGCAAGGGGAGAGAGAGTGAGGGCCATGCCTGTTGCCACCGGAAGCATCGCCACTCCCACCCTCCCTTCCTCCCACCCTCCCTCACTCACTCACTCACTCACTGTGCGCCGGGCCTGCTGGCTTTGAGCGCGAGGAGAGAGAGGGTGAGAGCCATGCCTGTTGCCACTGGAAGCACCGTCACTGCTGATATGTCTGATGGGTGGGGAACAGGCATGCATGGATGTCAGGTGTGTAGACCGCCGGCATGCATGCATGCATGCAAACATGGATGGGCACCAAGAGTAGGACCGATGAGGGCCATGTATGTTGCCACTGGCAGCACCGTCAATGCTGATATGTCTGATGGGTAACATGCCTGCATGGGGGGGGATGCATGACTTTTGAGTTGACTCAAAAGTTAACATGCATGTATGGGGGGGGACGCATGCATGCGGGCATGTATGCGCAGCGAAACACATGGGGCATGACAAGTAGGGAGAGGAGCCAGTGGAAGCGGACACCAGTTAGGCGCCATTGAGATAATACGTGGCAGCAACTTAGGATTCAACACCAGTAGTTGTTGGTAGTATAACACATGGGGCATGACAATTAGGGAGAGGAGCAAAACATATCTGTGCAATAAAACATTGAAAGGGATGGGTTAAGTACGTGTCATAGCAGATGAGGAGTTACCTTTGAGGCCTGCGAGGGAGAGGGCATCCCTGACAAGCAAGCCTCCAAGGTATTTCCTCAAAGCAGGCCTCATCTGCTATGACAACACTAGCATGTCGCCTCACGTACTCAAAGGAAGATGAGGAGTTACCTTTGAGGCCTGCGAGGGAGAGGGCGTCCTTGACAAGCAGATTGGTGAGGCGGCATGCCAGTGTTGACCCCGCTGCCTGGTGGACCGAGATGGTAGATGGGACATGGCACGTGCCACAGGGCACACAGCGCATATAGGGGAGAAGCTCTGAGGCCTGCGAGGGAGGTGGTGTCCTTGACAAGCAGATTCGTGCAGCGGCATGCCAGTGTTGACCCCGCTGCCTGGTGTACTGGTGGGGGTACATGGCGCATGGGAGATGGTACATGACACATGGGAGATGGTACATGGCACATGGGAGATGGTACATGACACATGGGAGATGGTACATGGCACATGGGAGATGGTACATGACACATGGGAGATGGTACATGACACATGGGAGATGGTACATGACACATGGGAGATGGTACATGACACATGGGAGATGGTACATGACACATGGGAGATGGTACATGACACATGGCAGATGGTACATGACACATGGGAGATGGTACATGACACATGGGAGATGGTACATGACACATGGGAGATGGTACATGACACATGGGAGATGGTACATGACACATGGGAGATGGTACATGACACATGGGAGATGGTACATGACACATGGGAGATGGTACATGACACATGGGAGATGGTACATGACACATGGGAGATGGTACATGACACATGGGAGATGGTACATGACACATGGGAGATGGTACATGGTACATGGGAGATGGTACATGGTACATGGGCGATTGTACATGAGACATGGGAGATGGTACATGAGACATGGGAGATGGTACATGGCCCATGGGAGATGGTACATGACACATGGGAGATGGTACATGACACATGGGAGATGGTACATGACACATGGGAGATGGTACATGACACATGGGAGATGGTACATGACACATGGGAGATGGTACATGACACATGGGAGATGGTACATGACACATGGGAGATGGTACATGACACATGGGAGATGGTACATGACACATGGGAGATGGTACATGACACATGGGAGATGGTACATGACACATGGGAGATGGTACATGACACATGGGAGATGGTACATGGTACATGGGAGATGGTACATGGTACATGGGCGATTGTACATGAGACATGGGAGATGGTACATGAGACATGGGAGATGGTACATGGCCCATGGGAGATGGTACATGACACATGGGAGATGGTACATGACACATGGGAGATGGTACATGACACATGGGAGATGGTACATGACACATGGGAGATGGTACATGACACATGGGAGATGGTACATGACACATGGGAGATGGTACATGACACATGGGAGATGGTACATGACACATGGGAGATGGTACATGACACATGGGAGATGGTACATGGTACATGGGAGATGGTACATGGTACATGGGCGATTGTACATGAGACATGGGAGATGGTACATGAGATATGGGAGATGGTACATGGCCCATGGGAGATGGTACATGAGACATGGGAGATGGTACATGGCCCATGGGAGATGGTACATGAGATATGGGAGACGGTACATGGGACATGGGAGATGGTACATGGCACATGGGAGATGGTACATGGCGCATGGGGATGGTACATGGCACATGGCATGGTAGGGAGCATGGCGGAATGGCCGACATATGAGTGCACACCTTAGGCTGCTCGTCTGCGATATTCCCCGATCGCCCCGGCCATGCGTCATGCCGTAGTGCCATGTCACGTTGCATCAGACATGATGCTAGCTACTCACAGAGGGATCCGCAGTTCCAGTGCCCACCTTAGGTTGCTCATCTTCAATATTCCCCGATCGCCCCATGCCATGCGTCATGCCGTAGTGCCGCCGCCTCACCAGCCCACTCGCACAGCGCGCCTCCCTCTCCCCCATGCCCACATTCCCCTTGAACCCGCTGCTGTCCATCAGAGACAGGTCCTGGTGTGTCATGTGTGGGGATGGGTAGGATGTGGAGTGGTGAAATAAGCACACGAGGGTATCAGTCTGACTCAAAAGTCCTCCCTCTCCCCCATGCCCACATTCCCCTTGAAACCGCTGCTGCCCATCAGTGACAGGTCCTGGTGTGGATGGTGGGGATGGGATGGGGATGATAGTGGGCATGGGTTGGGATTGGGGGAGGCCATGGGGTGGGATAGAGGAAGGTGTTGAGGCAACTCAAGGTCTTTTCGCGCCTCCCTCTCCCCCATGCCCACATTTCCCTTGAACCCGCTGCTGTCCATCAGTGACAGGTCACCTGGTGCAAATGTAATGGGGTTGGGGTTGGGATGGAATGGGATGGGATGGAATTGGGACCATCCCAATCTTGTTGCTGTTGCAGATACCAAGATTAAAGAAGCATCTCAGCCGTCCAATCTCATGAGAAGAAGGATCTCACGGCCAGAATCCTATTGATGCCTGTACGTTGTTCCTCGCCTCACGTGCTTGTAAACGGAACGCGCGGAACTCACCTTGAGAAGCATCTCGATAGTGTCGTCATCCCAGCCGTCCCTCGGGAGCTTCCTCTGCGATAACAGGCTCTTCACCTGCCATGTCATGCGCCACGTGGCAGGCCCCCGTGCATGATCACTATTATTGTTGCAACTTTCAGACGGGGGAATATTAACGCGTCCGGAGTTGGTGATGCGATACAGGATAAATAGGGTGGCTTAAATGGCTTCGCGAACTAGCTATGACTGAATGCCACGTGGCAGTCGCACGCACCATATTGTGTCGCTGCGCGAGCGACTGCGCGCCCTGTCGCACGTACGACGGAGACACGAGCCCCTCCGCGAGCTTCAGATTCGCCGCGTCCATGCTCGTCGCAGGCCGACGTCGCACACGCAGTCGCACGGCGACCAATTCGACCCAAGTCGTAGGACTGTACGGTTGGTGGAATTGATAGAGGATTGCGGTGATAGTCCCTTATCCTGGTGCGTTGTTTTGGGACTGATAGTCCAGGTGCACTGTGAGGATTTACCCTGGTGAGGATTAGGCCGACTTCGGATCTGACACACCCTTAGGGCTCGCATAAATTCTCGAATTCCATTTCTCAACCCCAAAATCCCTTACTTCCAGCCAGCCCAAAACTAGGGTTGCGAGCAAGTAGCTCTTCAGACCGCATTAGACCGCATCAGACCGTCCCGAAACGACCCAGAAACAGTTTAGCTGCATCTGGAACCGCCTTAACCTGGATTTATAGGCACTTGAACGGTGCCTGTAGTAGTTCTGCCGTGAAACCCGCCGTCGAACGCGGCGGCCATGGAGGAGGGCGACGCGGCCGTGGCGGTGCGCGTGCTGAAGGAGCGGCTGACGTGGCAGCCAAGCGCCGTGGCGAGCTGCGCGGAGCGCGGAGAGGGAGCGGAGTGCGCGGAGGCCAGAGAGGGCGCGGAGTGCGCGGAGAACGGGGGAAGCGCGGAGAGCGACAGCAGCAGGCGCATCAAAGCGGTTCCGTTGACGGCGGAGAACGAGAGTAGTCGCGAGCGGCTGCACGGCATGCTGCGCGACGTGGCGTGCGACGGGCTGTGCCTCTCGCTGCTGCTGCTGGGACCGCGAGGAACAGGCAAGACGCTGGTGAGTTGCTTGCCTTGCGGTGTCCTGCCGTGCCGTGCGCCTCTGACTCCGGGACTGAGGGAGTGAGGGAGTGAGGGACTGAGGGAGTGAGGGACTGAGGGAGTGAGGGACTGAGGGACTGAGGGACTGAGGGAGTGAGGGAGTGAGGGAGTGAGGGACTGAGGGAGTGAGGGACTGAGGGACTGAGGGAGTGAGGGAGTGAGGGAGTGAGGGACTGAGGGACTGAGGGAGTGAGGGAGTGAGGGACTGAGGGAGTGAGGGAGTGAGGGACTGAGGGAGGGACTGAGGGTGCGTCGTGCCTCTCCCTGCTGCTGCTGGGATCCAGGGGATGCGGCAAGACGCTGGTGAGTGCCGTGTCTATTCCAGTCACGGCACTCACCAGCGTCCTTCACCCCATTTCAACTCCCATTTCACCCCTTCACCGTGCCTCAGGTGCTGCAGGGGGTTACGGCTGTCCTGCTGTTGAGGCTCTTCCAAGCCATCTCTCCCCATCCCTCCCCACCGCATCCCACCCCACCCACGCCTCCCTTCCCCAGGTGCTGCAGCGTGCGTTGGCTGACCTGCGAGCATCGCCCCACATCCCATCGTTTCTTGCTGTGAGCCCCTGTGCTGTGCTGACATGGCACGTGCTGACACTTGCTGGCGTTTGCTTCTAGTTCACGTGGCTGTTTCTCTGGGTGACCACGTGGGTGCACTGGGAATAGTGACCACGTGGCTCCTTCTTGAGCCCCGATTCCAGACACTTCACTATGCCATGCCATGCCATGCCATGCCATGCCATGCTGTGCATTCCGTAGCCTACTCTAACCATCATGCAGACTCCATCCTTGCGCCCTATTCCATGGCACTCCATGCCATACAGTGCAATTCCACCCCACCCCACCCCACCCCACCCCACCCCACCCCATCTCATTCTAACCATCAGGTGCATCTGGATGGTCGCATGCATGCCGATGACCGTGCTGCTCTCAAGGTGCGCTCATCAACATGCCATGCCATGCCATGCCATGCCATGCCATACTGTGCTATTCACCCACATGCCATGCCATGCCATGCCATGCCATGCCATGCCATGTCATGCAACTACGTACAGTCTCTCATCTTCCACTTCGCCCCTCTCACGCCTGCCCTTCCCTCCCCAGGAAATGGCTCGCCAACTGTCAGGCTCTCTACCTCACCTTGATACTCTCTCCCTGGTATTCTGATCCTCTTCTTAAAATTCTGAGTCACTTTTTTTTTTATTTCTCTCAAGCCCTTTTCTTAAGAAATGCTTTCCTCTTCCTCCCACACGTCTGTTCTGCTGCATGGCTGGCGACGTGATAAAAGTGATATGTTGAGACGCCTCAAAATAACTTCTGCTGCATGGCTGGCGGCTTTTCACCACTTTCCCATCCCATGCCCTCTCCAATCCAACTCCTCGTTCTCACTTTCCTCATCCGTCCCCACTTCTCCCCTCCACCAATCACACGCCAGCATTCCTACTCTGACAACGTCAGGATGCTTCACCACGTCCTCAGGTGCCCATCTGCTCTTTCAGATGCTTTTCCAGGTCATCAGTGCCACTATGTTCCTTCAGGTGCTTTAACAGGAACTCAGGTGCCTTTCTGCAACTTCGGGTGCTCTTTTGTGTGCTCAGTCTGCGCCCTCAGGTGCCAATCTGCATCTTCAGGTGCTTTTTCATGTGTCAGGACTCAGGTGAACTGGCCTCCCACGCTCACCCTCGCTATCATTCACCCACCCATCTCCTTCATGCCATTTGAATCACAGGTTGCACCGCTTTGCACTGCACTACCCTGCACTGCACCGCTCTCAAGCCAAAAGTTCCTCATTTCCACACTCTTCTCCTGCCCGCTGTCCACCCAAGAAGCCTCACGTCTGCAAGCGCTCCTCTTCATTTCCCTCTCTGTTTGAGTCGACTCAGAAGCAGATTCATTTCCCTCTCTGTTTGAGTCGACTCAGAAGCAGATTCATTTCCCTCTCTGTTTGAGTCGACTCAGAAGCAGATTCATTTCCCTCTCTGTTTGAGTCGACTCAGAAGCAGATTCATTTCCCTCTCTGTTTGAGTCGACTCAGAAGCAGATTCATTTCCCTCTCTGTTTGAGTCGACTCAGAAGCAGATTCATTTCCCTCTCTGTTTGAGTCGACTCAGAAGCAGATTCATTTCCCTCTCTGTTTGAGTCGACTCAGAAGCAGATTCATTTCCCTCTGCTGCATCCCCCCCTCCTCTGCTGTGCAGGCTTTGCTCCCAAGCCAAAAGGTCCCGCATCGTGCCTTTGAGAATTCTCATCGACTTTTTATTTTTTTCTTACCTGCCCAAACACAATGTTCCGCAGGCTCTGCTCGCAAGCCAGAAGGTCCCTCATCGTGGTGCTAGACGAATTCGACCACTTTGCCTCCGTGAGTCTCCCCATTCAGATCAGAACACCTCCTTCTGTGATGAGGCTATTCCGAATGCCTTAGTGAGTCATTTTGCTCGCAAGCCAGAAGGTCCCTCATCGTGGTGCTACACGAATTCGACCACTTTGCTTCTGTGAGTCCCCTCGTACGAGTTTTGAGTCTCCTCATACACCCTCCGCACGCTCTCTTCCTTCCCTCCCTCTCCTCACCGGCCACAGTGGGGCAGGCAGGGAATCCCGTTCCTGTTTCAACGTTCCTCTTTCTTGCTGTGTTGTCCCTATCAGAATCCTCATGCTCTCCCCTCCCCCTCCCCTCCCCCTTTTAGAATCCTCGTGCACTCTTTACCTTTTGTTCCGAGTTTACTCAGAACACGCCTGTCCCATCCCCAATGACTCCCCTCCCTCTCCCTTCACATCTTTTCACAGAGGGGCAAGCAGGGAATACTCTACCTGCTCTTGGATCTCATGCATTCCCCCGACACAAACTTGGCAGTTATTGGGGTCTCCGCCTCGCAGGTCCGTCTCTTTCCACATGTGATTCCAGGGAACTACTTCGGCCGCTAGTAGATAGAAGGAAAGAAACGGCCTCTCCTGTCAAGAAAAATTACAGCTTATTGACCTGTCACTGCTTCGCTGATCCTCATTGAGTTCTGCCCACCCCTTCCTTCTCTCAACGTGCGCAGAGGTGTTGGACACCCCTCCCTTTGTGCGCAGAGGTGTTGGACACCCCGCCCTTTGTGCGCAGAGGTGTTGGACACCCCACCCTTAGTGCGCAGAGGTGTTGGACACCCCACCCTTAGTGCGCAGAGGTGTTGGACACCCCACCCTTAGTGCGCAGAGGTGTTGGACACCCCACCCTTAGTGCGCAGAGGTGTTGGACACCCCACCCTTAGTGCGCAGAGGTGTTGGACACCCCACCCTTAGTGCGCAGAGGTGTTGGACACCCCACCCTTAGTGCGCAGAGGTGTTGGACACCCCACCCTTAGTGCGCAGAGGTGTTGGACACCCCACCTCTTCTGTCTGCTTCTGTCTCTTTTTGCCCACCCCTTCCTTCTCATCTCACTGATCCTCATTGAGTTCTGCCCACCCCACCCTTTGTTCTGCCTGCTTCTGTCTCTTTTGCCACCTCTTCTGCCTACCCTCCCTCTCCTTCTCTCCTCCAGGAGTCAAATCAACTCCAGAAGAAGCACATGTGATCACGCTTCTCCAACCACACGCAGCACAAATATACCCCTCTCAACCCCCCCCAACCTCTCTATCCTACGCCCAGCCCCTCCAAACCCCTCGATTCCTCCCACCCACTCCACTCCACTCACCCCGTCTCACCAGGACGCGGATCAGCTGCTGGAGAAGCGGGTGCGATCGCGCTTCTCCAACCGCAAGATCGTCTTCCTGCCGCCGCAGCCTCAGGACCTTGTCAGGTACAGCCCCTTTGTACCCTTTCGCTTCAACTGCTGGAGCTTTCACATAGAGGGATGGGAGCAGACTTACTCTGTAAACCAGTGCTGAACTCGGAGAGCGGAGCACTGTGGGACCCTTCGCCTGAAGCAGCTCTTTATCGTTTCAGTCTCCAGTTACTTACAGTATCCCCTCATCGTCTCCCCTTCACAGGTTACTTCTCTCGACCCTCACCCTCCCGGTGCAGCGGCCACCACCCCTTGCCTCTGCTCTTCCCAACACCACCAATGCATCTGCCGCGCTGCTCCAAGCCTCCCCCACTCTTCCCAACGCCACCGATTCCTGGGCTGCATTTGCGACTGCGTTCAACGAAAAAGTTGAATTAACTTTCCAGCATCCCTCAGTGCTGGCTATTTTGCTGCAGTCAACCGCCGTCAACCGCACTGCACCTCACATCTTCAAACTCGGGTAAAGCGACGAGCTGGGCTCCCTTGGAACAATTTACTTTGCTGCATTGTTGTTACGGTCATGGAAAACCCTTGACTTTTTCTTTTCTTGTTTGCTTCCCACAGGTTCCGGGCAGTGTGTGAAATGGTGAGGAGAGGGGGCCAGACCCTTTCGGTGTCCGATTTTGAGAGGGCGTATGCTGCAACCACACTGCCCATTCGGCAGCAGATGCTCTCAGGTTGGTTGTTTGGACGTCTCAAGAGGCAAAAAAACCAGAACATAGGTGTGCCTGTGTGTGTTTGTGTGCGTCTGATTAGTAAAAGACCATACATGGCAACCACACAGCTCATTGTGATTTTCCACATTCCCTTTCAATTTAAGCAGTCCCTTCCACCTCCGCCCCTCCGCCTCCCACACAGGCCTCTCAATCCTGGAGCTCTATCTCCTTGTCGCATTCCACCGCACCGAAGCACGTGCTGCTGCTGCTGCTGCTGCTGGCACTGGTCTTGGTGGTGCTGCTGCTGGTGCTTGTGCTGGTGGTGCTGGTGGCGCTACAGTCGAAGCAACAGCTAGTGGGTCCCACCCTGTCAATTTCCACATAGCCTTCAAAGGTGGGTTGGTGCTTCTCCCTTCCGTGCCCTTTTAGTGCGCCTCAGTGAATAAACCCTGTACCATGCTATGTTCCACTTTCCGGGCACCTCAAAAGGTGCCTTAATGATCATTTCTTCAACCCCGTACCATGCTATTTACCGTACTTGGATGAATGAGAAATTGTCCGGTTGCCATTGTTTCCTCGTTGTCGCTGCTTCAAGCTCGCGATCTTGCTCATTTTGTCTTTACTGCATGATTATTGCTCTCCCACTCCATCCACACACTCCCACTACCTCCACACACTCCCACTACCTCCACACACTCCCACTACCTCCACACACTCCCACTACCTCCACACACTCTCACTCCCTTCACCCATCCCTCCCTTCACCAGAGTACGAATCGCGAAGAGTGGCGGCCAGAGGTTCTGTCTCTGATGTGTTTTCTCAAGAATCCGCCTTACAGGTGATGTGCCCTGTGCACACAACAATGGTTACACCACTTCGTTGCAACACAACTGGTTGTGCCATTTATTGTTTTATCTTACACCCTCTCTTTTAATTCCACTGTGTTTAACAGGCTTACGGGCGGCTTATAGATGCCAATTTTGTAGCGGTTGCCTCTGGGCAGCAACCAGCCAGTGTGGAGGACCTTGAATTTTACCTGCCCGTTTGCTGGTTACTGCATACGAGCTAGAAGAGGCTATCAACAAGAATCCACGTGTTCCTGTAAGCATTTTGCCCGAACAGCTGTTGCTTCTAGCGTTCATAAGGAATGCGGTGAGTTTTGTGACATCTTCTGTTCCTGTTTTTGTGTTTTCTGCCAGCTTGAACTGAGGAACTGGCTACAAGGAGGATTGCATGAAGGAGCTCCTGTGATGTCGTAATACGCTTTTGAGGGGATTTTTCGGAGGGATTCACAATTCTTATCGAGTTGTGCTGTAACCAATTTCAAGCAGAGAATGCTCCGAACCGCATTCCCAAATTCTGGCACAAGACATCAAGCGCGACCCGGTTCAAGGCATTTCCCGCCATCCATTCTTGAAAGCCGTCCATCCCACATTCCCTCCCTGCCCAGAGTACTACCACCCCAACCCACCCCACCATGCACGCCACACTGTCGGCCAAAACAACTTCGCCGTCAGAACAGAAGCATCGTCCATTCCCTTTATCTGAATCACCTCACCTCCCTTCACCCTCCTACAACCATCAATCCGCCATTCCGGGCTTTCCGAGCCTCCCTGTGTACGCTTTTCTTCGCGGCCTCGAGATCATCCAGACCCAAACGTTAGTCTCCGAGACTCCCAAAGACATTCCTACTGACAGACCTGCGTTCTAGTTTCGCGTTCGCTGTATTGATCCCTCTTGCTTGTTGGACAGTCGGTTTCAGGCTTGAGAGCAAAACTCTTTCCAATCCCAAGAGAGTGTCCTTTTGTGATCAGAATAAATAGTTCTACGTGTCATGTTGTAGACAAGCGTGGCCACGTCCGTCAGCTTCTCGCTGTCTAGCGACACCTTTCGCATGCATTTCCCCGTTTAGTCCATCCGTCACACGCCATCACACGCCAGTCCCGTTCGGTAAATCCCGTCCTCACCACCCATCCGGTTCACACACGTTCTAGACATCACGTACTAAGACATCCTCTCCGCTCTATCTTAGAACATTCGCCCGCCATGAAGACTTTCTTAGTGCTCCTAACGTTGACTCTAGCGTCTCTCAGCTCCACCCCTTGGTGTCTCGCCGATGACCTGCCATGGAGGGATACGCTGAAGGGCTTCGATTCTTTCTTGAAGGCCCTGGAATCGTCAGGTACAAATTGCGTCAAGGCAAGCTTGCACGAGAGTTTTTAGGTTCTTATTGTCACATGTTACGTCTCTCGCTGATGATCTGCCCTGGAAAGATATGCTGAAAGGGTTCGGTTCTTTCCTGACGACCCTGGAATTGTCAGGGTGTACGCTCCCGTCCTCCTGAACCATTTGTAGTGCGCTACTGGCATTACAGATGCTCGCTCGCACCTGGCCCGTATATTTGAACCTACTGGAACTGTAACATCACTCTGAACGCAGGCGCATCGAAGCTGATCGACGCGTACGTCACGTCCCCCTTCGGCGCGCGCACGGGGGTCACTTTTCTCGCGCCGACCGACGACGCGTTCGCGGCGATGCCGCCGCAAGACGCGGAGATGCTGCGCACGATGCCGTGGGCCATGGCGAGCCAGCTGCTGTTCCACGTCGTGAAGAAGAGGCTGACGCATGTCCAGCTGCGCTCCGCCCGTCCCGAAACTAAGGTGCGAAACTGGAATATATTCGAGCACGGGGATGGTTGCGCGGGAGGGGGGGGAGTGGGGAGAGGGGCGAGGGGGCATGGCCAGCCAGCTGCTGTTCCACGTCGTCAAGAAGAGACTGAATCATGTCCAGCTGCGATCCGCTCGCCCCGAAACTAAGGTTCGAAAAAGGAGCGAATCTGGTGCGAATCTGGTGCGAATCTGGTGCGAATCTGGTGCGAATCTGGTGTGAATCTGGTCGAGCGATGGGATGAAAGTGGAGGGTTCGGCTGGTGGGGAATGACCAGCGGGCCGTTCTCCATTCTGGCTCGGGTTGCACTTTGTCCATGCTCGTCCCAATGCGCATATAGCTCAGCCCATCCTCGACAGGCTTTCTCACTTCTCTTCAGCTTTCTATCCCTGCGTGACTCCCTCGCCTCACTCGCTCGTCTGCTATTACCTTCTCCTGACCCGCTTCCCCGTCATTCCTCGTACGCCCTCATATCCCACACTCCCCTCCGTGCAGTACGGCACGCTTTCCAACGTCGCCCTCGTCAAGGTGTACGCGCCCATTCTCGAGTTTGGCCCCGCAGGCTCGCCATATGGACCGCAGGTACCCCCTCTGCCTCCCTTAACCGTTCTGCACTCTGCACCGCTCTCTCTCTCTCTCTCTCTCTCTCTCTCTCTCTCTCTCTCTCTCTCTCTCTCTCTCTCTCTCTCTCTCTCTCTCTCTCTCTCTCTCTCTCTCTCTCTCTCTCTCTCTCGAATGGCCCTTGCATTACTTGGGGGGTGGTACAAAGGAAGATGCAAGCATACAGGCGCCACAAACAACCAAACCGGCATCCTAACTACCTCCAGCCCTCTACCTGCTCAGCCCCCCCCTCTCCTGTCCGACCCTACTGGTCGAACGGGGCCTCTATTAACTGATGCAGCTGTCCCTCACTGAGAGGGATGATGGGTCCTCTAAAACCGAGCTCGTCCGCCGCCAAGGCCTCATTGGTCTTGGTGCGGAGGGCGTTGGCCTGCGCCCGCTGGAGGCACACGCTCCAGCGCTGGCGGTACTCCGTCAGCAGCTTCGCAGCTTCGTAGGAGGCAGGAGCTGCGTTAAAACGCAGCTTTGCCGCCAACTCCGCGCACTGCCGCAGGTACGCCATCACCCCTGGCGATGGGTAGCAGTAAGTTTCCACTGCAAGCGCATGGAACCCCACCCATGCGTTCCGCCGAGCATACTTCTCCTCCTTTTTCGCTGCAGCCGCCCTAGCCGCCCATCCAGGGGCACGGTTGCAGTTCTCATCCTGGTATGACACCGGGTCCGTCACGGTCACGTCGCACATCCAGATCCGGTCAGGGGATGACGGATGGTGACATCCGCCTTTAGATTTTCAACCAGAGAGTAGACATACGTCTCCTTGTGGACCGTAAACCCCGCCTCAGCCCCAATGTTCGCTATCTCATCCCACAGAGCATGATGGGTTGCGGTCCTCCCCTTCCCCTTCTCGCAGCGCATGAGGTGGTTGGGGAGGCGGTCGTCGGGGAAGGTGGTGCAGTAGCGGCAGTCACAGCGTCTAGGCACGGGGAGGGGGAGGCCTAGGCGGAAGGCAGCAGCCGTTGAGAACTGGGATGGGCCCATCCGAAGCGAGGGGGTGAGCGGTATCGCCAGCAGCCAGTCTCCCGCGCCTGGGCCTAGCACCGACTGCATCCGTTGCGCGTGGCCACACAGGGGGTTGGGGCGCATCTGCCTTGCCTTGCGCATGACACTCAGGAAGCGGCGGGAGTGAACCGCCAGCGCTAGGCTCTGCTGCAGCTTCAGTCCCTTGGGGTCCGCCTTCCCGGCCTGGAGCGCCTCCAGAGCCTCAGGGGGAAGAGCTGCCTCGGCCGCAGCGAGGCGTGCAGGTAGCGCGTGCGGAGAGCCGTGGGTCGGGTCCAGTAGGGGGAGGAGAGCGGCGGCAGCAGGGTGCAACGAGCCCTCCAGGGAGTGCAGGAGGTGGGCAGTGCTGATCACTGAGGCGAGGTAGGCGTAGCTGCCTTCAACGGTGGGGTCGGTGATGCCCAGACCTCCCAAAGTCACAGGCAGGGCTGCCTGCCGCCAAATCCTCCGTCTCTCCCTGGCGCTCCTTGGCCTCATGATGTGAGCTGAATCCAGGAAGGTGTGTAGAAGCTGTTCCCCCCAAGCAGACCATTCAGCTTTGGGGAGGGCCTCTAGGGGGGTGGTCCTGGCGAGGAAAGATGCTTTGCGGCTGACGCAGCGGGTGAGGAGGAGGAGGCTGAGCTGGGGGTCCATCTGGGCCAGCAGGGGGAGAGGCGCTGCTGCTGCTGCCAGTCTCTCTCTCACTGCGCCTGCGCAGCCCCGGGGAGAGCCTATGGGGCTGCCGAGAATCTGCAATCCCTCCTCCGCGATAGAGATGCCGGGGGGAACTGCAGAGGGGTCGATTGCAGCTGCGGACCACGCCGTGCACTTGGCCGGGTTGTGCACCAGGCCGAGGGCGGCCAATGCAGATGTGAGGTGTTCGAAAGCCGCTGCGCAGGCCGTGGCGTCGCCGAGCAGCGTGATGTCATGGGGGTGCATGGCCGCCGTGTCAGCGAGGCACGGGTGGATGCTCGCCGCGAACAAGAGGGGGCCGAGCGGGTCCCCTTGGCGGACACTTCTGGCGCTCTGCAGCGGGGCAGCGCGGAAGTCGTGGTCGAGGTAGAGCGAGGAGGGAGCTCCATAGGAAAAGCGGACGAGGGGGATCAGTTCCTTGAGCGCCTCGTTGTTCAGTCCTTCGAACACCGCCCTCCTCTCGACCGCGTTGAATGCGTTCGCGAGGTCAATCTGCAGGGCCACAGCCGCGGGGTGTTCTTCCTGGTACGTGCGAGCGATGTGGATGGCCGCTTCTATCCCCCCTGCTACTGCTACTCCGAATTGAAGTGGAGCAAAGTGAGAACGTGCTGCCGGCGCGGTCAGGAACAGAGCGGCCTTTGCTATAATCCGGAGGAGGCACTCCCCCACCGCAATCGGCCGCGTCCCTCCCTGGGGTTTCGTAAAGGCTAACAGGCGGGAGGCCGTGAGTAGTTCCCCGGCTATTTTGGGGAGTTTTCCTGCTAGAGCAGTGTTGGAGAGGGCGAGGAGGTGGGTGAGTACTTCGGCGTTCCCTAGGGCTGCGTCGCGGAGGTGCTCGAATGTGGTTCCTGAGGGGCCGGCTCCGACTCCGTTGGGGAGCTTGGCGAGAAGGCGCCGAAAGTCGCGGGCTTCGATAGTAGGTGGTGTTCCCGCCGTGGTGCTGTGGAGCCAGTCAGGGAGCGGTTGGCTGGCAGATGGGTGTCTCGCCGCGAGGGCTTCCAATACTTCAGGTGAGGCGGGAGACATTGGAGTGGCCTGGAGGGATTGGAGTGATTTTGATAGGTTACCCCGTTTTGCCAGTCCTTCCGCCCTTGCCAGTATCCCCGTTGTGTCAGGAGCGTGGCGAGGTTGCGGTGGCAGGGAAATCGCCTGGACTGCCTCTTCGTAAAGGCCCGCCCAGAGCCCTTGGCGAAATCGCTGGAGCCGATTCATCATCGCGCTCCAGTCAGGTTTACGGGCTGTCGAGGTGCGGAGGAGTATGCGCGGGAGGAAGGTCAGTAGTTTCCACCCTGGCGGGGATTCAGGATTGGCCGCCAGGTGGAGCAGTGGTGTCAACAAGCAGATCGCGAAGGAGTCGCGAAGGTCTTTGGGCGGGTGGCGAGCGAGAGGAGGTTGGCGACTGTCGCGCAGCGGGTCAAGGTCCCAGTCCGCCACCTGAGCGAACAGCTCAGAATTTTTCGCCAGGTCGTCAGGTTTGAGCATCGGGGGGGTTGGAATCGGGGCTGCAGAATTCTCATTGGCTGTTGCAGAGTCAATTCTGGCTTCTGTCGCGGCTCGATTTCCCCCCCCTCGCTTGATTTCCCCCCGCGGTTCGATTTCGACCTGAGGCTCGGTTAGCAGGTCCACCTCTGGTCTGCTGGTCTGGAAACTCTGCTCCCCGATGCAGCAATTCCGACTCTTCCTCGTCCTCCCCAGTCTCTGCTTCTAATATCCCCTCTCTTTCTGGGTTAAAAGCAGGGTCACCCCCTTCGCTTTCCTCAGACTCGTCATCGCCCTCAGCCTCCTCGCTGGGCGCCTCTTCCCCGCCTTCCGTGTCTTCACGCATCAGCCTATCTGCAGCTATCGCGTATCTGCTCGCGCCGGTGCGTCGCCGAGTCGAGCCTCTTGTTCCTCCGCTTCTTCGGCCTCTCCCGTTCCCACGGCGGCCGCGGCGGTTGTTGCCGCGTCCCACGCGTATTCCCCGCGTTCCTCTTCCGCCCGCAGCTCCCGCGTGCCCTGTCTGGCGCGCCCCATCCGCCGTGTCTTCTGTTGGTCGGCGCGCTGGCGTCGGCGGCCGTGCGATCAGGGGTGATGGACCCATCCGCGCGACGGGATCCAGAGCTGGAGGGTTCCGCGGAGAGCGCGCTGCCGGAGCCTGCACCCTGGCCTCGTCAGCGTCTTCTCGCGCACCCCTCCGCAAGCGAGCCTGTCCCCCGCTTCGAGCGGGTGGTGACTCTTCCCCATCGGCCTGCTGTGCGTCCCACCTCGCCAGAGTATTCGTGGGCCCCTGCACGTGTTGCGTCGAACCGCCCAGACGGACAGCCGCGGCAGGAGCGCGGGCGCTCGCCTCCGCGCCAGGCTCCTCGGCAGCCCTCTCCTCGCCGGCCTTCTCCTGAGCAACGCGACCCTCGTCAGCACAGGGAGGGCGGTCAGCGGTCCCCTGCGCGTCCTCGTTCTCCACGCCGTCCATCTCCTCGGGCTGGCCCGCGCTCACCCCGAGCGCGATCCCCCGCGCAACGCTCTCCGCGGCGATCACCGGCGACGCGGGGTAGGGGGTCGCCTGGGCGTCGGTGGGACATGGGTCGTCGCGAGCAATCCCCTCCGCGTCCGCATTCGGCTAGATCTGGAGGCCGGCGGGGCCGGCGGAACGGTGGTGGGCGTGGCGGAAACACTCGCGGGCAGGATCCCGCCCTGGATCGTGCCACGAGTGCGTTCGCGGAGGTCGTGCGCCAGGCGCGGGCGAGTGGCGAGCCGACTCATGTACACATCGAGGTGACCAACGGTCCTCCCCTCGCCGCGGGCCCTAGCCAGATGGCCCCTCTGCGCGCGCCGACGTTGCGCGAGTATCTGCCCGCGCGGGAGGGGCGGCCTCAGTTCCGCACCCCTCGTCAGGTTCCGGGCTACGCTGCACAGCGCCTCTCTGGTGGCCGGATTCCTGGCTGGCAGACGGAGTTCCCACGTGAAGCGCCGACTGCACTTCTCCCCAGTCACATGGGGAGAGATTCCATGCTGACCATGTGCAGGATTCTGAATGTGGCGGAGGCGTGCGAGGTGGTGGCGAACTTGCAGCTGGCGGTGTGTGGGGCCACGCGGAGCTTTCCGAGCAGTTACGGTCCAGGATCCCGAGGATCCTGCGTGTCTTTGGCAGAATCGCTCGAGTCGCCGTTGGCACCCGTGTCGGAAGCGCCCGCCGGGGTAGCGCCCTTAGCGCGTACCTTCCCCCGCCACGTGGGGGATCTTGTAGAGGCTGCTCGGGTTGGTACCCCCCGTGGGCACGCTTCAGTCGTCGGCGCATCTCCTTCTTGCAATGTCGGCGTGCATGCGCTCGATGCTGGAGATGGAGGGGGCGGAGCCGTATACGCAGTAGCGCGTCGCCGAGTGTAGATTTGCATGTTGCCTTCCGTAGGGCCTGGTCTCCCGGCTTGCTTGGTGTTTGTTTGTTCCTTGAAGTGAAGAAGTTGCGCTAGTGTCTTGCCACCAGAGACGCGCGGGCCGAAGGAACACGAACAGAGGGCAGAAATAATGAGAAGAAGCACGCTGGGCAGGGCCTAAATAGCCAAGAGTGCAGAGGGCAGGGGAGAAGGCAGAGGGCAGAGGGCTAAGGTTCCTCTCTCTCTCTCTCTCT